GGCTCCGGGAGGGACGCACATGGAGTGGTGAGGGAGGAGGGGACACTGGCCCAGCCAGCCAGATCAGCCAAATCGACCCTGGCGATCAGTGGTTGCAACCAGATCACGCTCACAGACGTCCATTTTTCTTTTTCACAGTCATCGTTCTGGTCAGTTTGGGCTTGATGGTGGTATAGACCATAAGAAACCAACACCATTTAGATTTCTCCAAATGGTTATTCTGTTGGTCCCAGGGTGATGTATTTCAAAAACTGCCTTGGCCCCAGTGATGTGAGGCATCCCCTTTGTCATCAACTAGACGCTGTGCTCATTGCTGGAGCCTCTCGTATTCTATGAGTCGTGTGTCCAGCCGGGCCCCAGCGCCACACTGTTTTAATGATCGAGGCTCTGCAGTGTGCTTTCCTAACTGCCTCCCTAGGAGCTCCCACTCTTCATGGGCTTCCCAGCTCGTCCTGCGCACATGTTCTCCCATACGAACTGTAACATCAATTTGTCTTGCTCTTTAAAAATGCTTATCAGTATTTACATTGGGATTGTATCAATTTATCAATTAACTTAGGGAGAAATGACATCTTAATGAAGTCAAGACATGCCAAGAACGAGCCCTGTTCATCCATGTGCTTGAGTTAGGGACACGTTGACGTCTGGTCTTCTCTCTTAGATATTTACTTAGTATCTTAGGCCATTAACTAAAATAACAACTATTTATTGAGCAACTATGATGTGCTCAGCCCTATTTTAAAGTACCATAGAAGTAAAAAAAATAGATTCTCTCCTCAAGCAGCTAGGAAGTCTGTGAGCTCAGCAGACTAAGACACCTGAAGCAAAGCAAATCCTCCCAGAACCCCCACGTGAAACAGCTCCCCATTGCACAGCCAGACCTTCCTTGCTCCGCAAGCTTGGGGGTGGTGGTGGTGGGGTCTCCAAAGCAAGCTCCCTGCTGTCTGGTTTGGGTTTGGTATCACAGTTGTCAAGGATCCTTCACGTGGCAGTGGGTTAAGGGCTCAGCACAAGTTCTCTCCACGACAGAAGGAGGGCTCTCTGCCCGTGTCAAGAACGAGTCGTAGCAACCCCTGTGGGTTTCTGGGACGGTAAGTGTGTATAGGAGTAGAAAGCCCTGTCTTTGGCCGGAGGAGCTGCTGGTGGTTTCCAACTGCCAACCATGAGGATCACAGCCCAGCACGTGACCACTACAAGCTCAGGGCAAGAGGGTTTCGGAAGCACAGCATGGCAGCCGTGTGTCGGGGTGGTTGTGTGAGATGTAAGTGGGGTGGCAAGGAGGAGGGAGGAATTCCAGGGAGGAATTCCAGAGAGGGGACTTAGGAAAACGGTGAGACTGTGCTGGACACTTCTCAGAGGACAGAGGCCCCTAGCCAACTGGAACCCTGGAGGCACCCACATGCCTCTCTTTAAGGCACAGGGGCCCTGGCCCACCTGTGTGCTCCTTACAGTGACGTCAGCGAGTGGCTACTCTGTTTCCAGAGACCAGGCCTGAAGAATGGCCCCTTCTGTGCTGCAGATCCCTTCAGGGAGCGGTCTGCGGCTGGGCTGATGCAGTCCCCACTGAGAGAACGGATTTCTAATTCATTTCAACTAATGTACATATTAAAGGTGAAGCAGTGCAAAATATTTCTCTGCCGAACCCATTACGAATAGCTAAATAAATAAAAGTTGCAGTGGAGCGGATTCTAACTCAAAGTAACCCTCTGGGACAAAGTCTCAA